CTTTATACTTCTACTTTTTTGTGATGCATCATTGCACCTCAAAGCCAGAAAATGTTAGGAAAAAATGATTGAGACAGGAGAAGTTAGATCAGTCTGCTAAAGAAAAAAGCTCTGCAATTATTTGGAAACCTAGTAAATTTAGAAAACTTGGACTCACTCTGTCTTTTGAAAAGTGGAAATTGAAAATAGAATAAGACAGTCTAATAAGTCTGGAAATACTATACAATGTTTAAGACACGTCTATATTAGTTTGTTTAAAATTTTAGGCTAGTTTTTTTAAAGTACATACTGCAGTGACTTTTAGATTAAACCCTAGAAATCTGTAGTGTCAGCTTGCAGACCAATGCCTGCCTGGGCTGGTGGGGGTGAGGAGTGGGCAGGGGGAGATTGCAGAGGTACACAGGACTAGAGGTTATGGACCTGTTTACCCCTGGACTATGGTGGTGACTTAAGAGGTAAATGTATACATCTCAACTTATCAAATTTTATACTTCCAATATTTGAAATTTCTATTTTGTCAATTGAGCTTCCATAAAACTGTTTAGGAAACATACCAGCATAGAAATAACAGGGGAAACGACCTCACTGTCTTGGTTTCTTCCTTGTCAGACAAAAAGTTTGCTGAGATTATTATCATTTTCCTTTCCATGCAATGTGTCTTTTTCTTTAACTACCTTAAGTTTTTCTCCTTCTCTCTTGTTTGTACAAGACTGAACAGGACATGCCTAGATGGTATGTTTGTATGTGTATATACACATAACACATATATAATATTTTATGTTTATTCTTGTTCTTCTCTAAGTTTCTTGGAGCTGAGGTTTAGTGTGTGTTATTAATTTTGGAAAATTCATACTCTTATTTCTTCAAATATTTTTCTTGTCCTAATTCTCTCTTCTTTTGGGAGTCCATTTAAGCATTATGTTAGAATAAGATACACTAAGATGGTATCCAAATGACATATTTATTATATTTAAGATTTTTCCACAACTCTCAGATGCTCTGTTCTGCCTTTCACTTTGGGTAATTTCTCTCTGTCTGTCTTAAAGTTCACAGAATCTTTTCTTGGGTCTGTCATGTCTACTGAGGAGTGAATCAAAGACATTCTTCTTTTATGTTACTTTGGGGTTTTCGTTTCTTGAAATTCCATCTGATTCTTTGAGTTCTCATCTCTGCTGAAATTTCCCACTAATCTCATATCTTTTCACCTTTTCCATTAGAATTTTGAACATCCTAATTATAGTTATTTTAAAATCACTTGTCAGATGATTCTAACATCTCTGTCACATCTGAATGGGTTCAGTTTATAGTTTTTTTTCTTAGCAATATAATGTTTATTTTTTTTTTTTGCCAGTTTGTTTGCCTCATAAATTTATGCTGAGCACCATGAATCTTGTGTTGGACAGTAGAAACAGATAATAGACTGTACGCCTGTAAGCACGCAGGGCTTCTCCTCTGCTAGGCTTCTAGTATAGGGGTTTGAGTTAACCTAGTTTGGTTGAATTTTCAGAGCAACACGTTCTTTGAATTCTGCACCAATACTTTTAGTTTAGGGTTTAGTTCAGTTTAGGAAAACTTTTAGTTTTCCCGAGACACTTTCTTTGCTTTACCTTCAGTTTTAGGCCTTTTCTTTGCATGTGATGAAAGGGTCAGTCTCCCTGTCTCCTCTCAGCATCCCACTGTTGACTTGTATTTGAGGCTTGTTGGCTGGTGTTAATGAGCAGGGAACTGTCTTTGTTCTGATTAATCTTCAGTCTTAGGTAGACCTTGTGTGTTTGGATCTTGGGAACATGACCTCAGAGCTCTTACTTTCTAACATCAGTAGTTCTATCTTCAGCACACTCTTGCTTCTCTCTCCTTGTTCTCTTCCTCCACTTTCAATGGGTTTATGCCAGTGCCTAAAGGTGACATTGCTTGATGCAGACCGAGGTCTCTGATTTATAGGGAGAGAAAGGTCTGGTTTCCTAGTCCCTCACCACAGCTGCTGTTCTCTCCCAGGTCTGCACCACCAGGCAGGTTTTCTAAGGACTCCCATCAGATCTTTCTTGTATGCCCAATAGCGTTTGTGAAGAAATGGTCAACTCCTTCAATATATATGACTTCCGGAGCCTCTGCATTCTCTTGTAAGCCCACATTCAACAACCCCCATCTTGTAAACTTTTCCAACCCAATTCTAATTGATGTTGGGCTGTGTTTGCCCCAGGTAAGCAAATGCTGTCTTTCCTCCTGGGCAGGCATCTCCTTAGACTTTAGACTACTTTGTGATTCTATGACCTCACTTCTCTCACGGGTTAGAGGAAACCTTGACCCTGCATTTTTGTTGTTATTGTAAAGGTGGATGAAGTGTTCTTTCTAGCTCTCTATACAGTATGAAGAAACAAAAGATTTTTTCATCAGGATTTTTGTTTTCTTCTTATTGATTTCTAAGAATGCTGAATATATTCTGGATATGTAATCTTTGTCAAATATTTGTTTTAAGAATATTTACTCCTACCTTGTGGCTTGTGTTTTCACTTTCTTAATTGTTTCTCATGCTCTACGGAAGTTTTTTAATTTGGAACTTTCAATTTTGAAATATTTTAATTTTATGTTTAGAGTATGTTGTATCTTGTCTAAGATATTTTTATCCACTGTAAATCCCTGAACTTATTCTTTAGTGCTTTCTTTTTGGAGTACTACTGCAGTATTAACTTCTATACATAGGTTTATGATCCAATTTAAATTTATTTTTGTTCCAAAATTAAGGAAAATATTGAGGCTCATTTTTTCCCATTTAATTCTTAATATTTCTTTCAAATAATTGGCCACATATATATGATTCTATTTCTGGACTCTCTATTTTGCCCTACAGACTTATTTTTTTCAATTCTTACATGAGTAGCATACTTTCTTCATTTCTGTTCCTTAATTACATTCATCTGTTTTTAAAATAAAAGTTTTATTGCAGGGATTAAATAAAATATAGTAGTTTCCTGCTTATAAGCAGGGCACAGAGTTCAAGGCATCCAATGGATGCCTAAAACCACAGATAGTCCTCAACTCTATATATTCTATTTTTTTCCCATTCAGACATTATAAGCGACTAATGGGTAGTAGTATATACAGGGAGGTTACATTGGACAAAGGGATGATTTGGAATGGAATGGCATTAAGAGTTCATCACATCATTTAGAAAAGTGGTAAAGTTAAAACTTATGAATTGTTTATCTCTGGAACTTTCCATTGAAGATTTTGAGATCTCAGTTGACCAAAGGTAATTTCCATAGAGTGAAACTGCAGATAAGTTGGGACCTTCTTTTTAAACCTGAGTGAGTAGCAATTTTACAAGTCATTTATGAAAAGAATAGGTGTCAAATGACAGTGTATGCTGAATGTAAATATCAATTCTATAATCATCTATGTACCATGAAATGGCTGTTTTTCCATCCATTAGCCCCAGAACAGCAGGGGATAAGAGACTTAATCATGTCTCTCAATGTAACATGCTTGCTTTGGATCTATGTGAGAACAGAATTGCTCATGATGAACAAGCATTTACATGCAGTGCTGCCACTTCTGGACCTGTCTGGAAGAGTTGTGAATAAAAATGACTTAGCTAACTACTTTATGCCCATCCTTTCACCAAGCCAAGGGAAATTTATTTAGTGAATTTACTTTAGAGAGCTTTATTATCTTGGTTTGCTTATGAGGTTGATTTTCTGACATGAAGATTAGTAAATTTATTCTCCAGGTAATAACATCATGTATTTTCAATCTCTCACCAAATAATCCACTATGTAACAGAATTTGTATGAATTTACATATATTTGACATTTTAAAGAACATTTGCAAATTGAGCATGTGTTCATCATCATGATATTACCTGTCAGGAAAAGTTACTGTGTTAATTTTCCAGTTTCAATCAACTAGTGTTCACATACTTATCATTACTTGATTGAATTTATCATTGTTTTTTTCACCAATATGATGATAGATATTCAACCAATTGTTAGAACAGCCATGACAGGTGATGGACGGACATAAGAATGTTTCTGATCGGATACATCTTTTGTGAAGAAGAAAACTTTAAATGTAGCATTCTTTACAGCTGTGAATGGTGACAGGTCCTGCCTTAGGGCAGAAGGTTCGACTAGTTGGGTTCTCCAGGGCCCTTCCAGACCTGTAATTCTCTAAACCACTTCTGTTGCTGGCCTTCAGACGCTGAGATCCAACTAGACACAGCCAAGCATGTGCCTCTTTAGGAGCTCCAGCAGTGTCAGAGGCAGCAGTGTCACCAGCAGCAACAACAACATCTATTCCATCTGAAGACTTCACCCAAAGGTGAGTCAAGTTAGCTTAGACCTAGGCCTTTCCCTTTCCTCCAGCTTCCACTGGATGCGATCACCGGAGCCCTGGAGGACTGAAAACCACAGGACACCCTCTGCCACCAATATAAGCTTTGACACAGGGACGAACGAGGGATGGCTGGTTGGCTGGTGCTGGGTGGGAGGGACTCGCTAGGAGACACGCTCGAGGAGGGATGAGTTGCACCAACAATGACCAGGTTCCTTTCGCACCATCCGCTGGGTGCCCGCCACTCCCGCAGCTCTCAGCCCACTGCACGCGGTCTCCTTCCAGGCTGCCGGCTCCCGCGGGAGGGCGTGTGGGATGATGCTCCCTGGTCCTTGTGCCTTCTCCAAGCTCCAGCATCCGGAGCCGCCCTAAGCTGGCACCGCGGCAGCCACAGCCTGGGCGGGAGAAAGGGAAAAGGGAGGGGGGCTGGAAAGGCTCGGCGAGCGGGAGGAGGGGAGGGGGGAGGGAAGGAGCGAAGGGGAGGGAATCTCTCTGCTCTGCGGTGCCTCCCCCTCGTCTCTCCGGCTGGCGGTGACTCCGGGTTCCCTCTCCACACCCGCTCGCAGTGGCTCACCCCCTTCTCCGCCCACCCTTCCTCCGGAGCGCGCCGGAGGGGAGCCGCAGCCCGCGCGCGGCGGCGGCGGCGGCGGGGCCGGGAGGCGAAGGCGGTGGGTGTGTGCGTGTGTGTGAAGGACGCCACCTCTCTCTGGATCCTGCTTTCTCAGGCGGCGGGCGGCGGGGCTGCAAGCTCCGGCAGCGGCGGTGGCAGCAGCGGCGGCTTCCGGAGTCCCGCCGCGAAGATGCTCAAAGTCACGGTGCCCTCCTGCTCCTCCTCGTCCTGCTCTTCGGTCACCTCCAGTGTGGCCCCCGGGGCTGGGAGCGTCGTCTTGGATTACTGGATCGACGGTTCCAACAGGGATGCTCTGAGCAATTTCTTCGAGGTGGAGTCGGAGCTGGGACGGTAAGGCGGGGCGAGGCAGGTTCCCTGGACCAGGCGGAGCTCTGAGGCGCGGGCTAGGGCTGGGGACGCCTGCAGCGTGCACCCGGGTTGTCCCCCTCGCAGTGACTGCTTCCAAGGATGGGGGACTGGCCTCTCTGCCCTTCTATTTTTCGTTGCCTAGTTAGTGACTGGGAGGGAGCTAAGCTTTTCTCAGGTGCGGCTCAGATCTACCCCGGAGTGCCTAGGCCGGTGGAGTGGCTGGCATCAGCGGTACTCTCCCAAGCTCCCTGCTCACCGCCGGCTGCCACTTCTCTTGGGTGACAGCTCTCACCGCACGTGGGCCCTGCTTTCCCAATTAATGTCTTTGCTCATGGCTATAGCTTGCTAGAGGGTCCTGTTTCTCTAGTTATTTGGGGGAGTGGGGATTGGAGGGTGCCCCTTATATCATGACAAAATTATTAAATTAGATGCCTCCTCTTTCGCCTTATCAAGCTCTCCAAAGCAAGTAGCACTAGGAATTAAACTTAAATACTAGCTTCCCTACAGAGTGTGCTCAGGAGTGAAAGGGGGAATGAATCATTTAAGAGAGTTAAAGGCAGAATAATGAAGTAGTGTGGCGTTAAAGAGGAAGCAGCACATGGAGTGCAGGCACTGTAATTAGTGAAGAGTTCTGCTGATTTATTTAAATTATGTATGTAAAACCCCATCTCCCTAGGGAAGCATAAAAGTCCCTCATCCCTTCCCTGGGGATCCAAACAGGTAGCAGATTTTCTTTGTGAATGATTCCATGTGTTCTAATATTTTTATCCATTGAATTTTTCTTTCCATCCTCCTTTTTTTTTTCCTTCTTTCTTTTCTTTTGTCCATAGGTGAGGAGACTTGTTTTCAATACTCAGTTTAGATGCAGGGCCCTTTACTATACAGAATCTGAAGATGTAGTTTAAACTCTTGACAAATTGCAACTTCTTTGCAATTTTATTTTCCTTTCTCTTTTTGCTGGAAATATTTTAGCTAACAACTGTTTTAAAAATGTCATTAGAGACCAGAGTAGAATTCTGAATGTTGGTAGTTGGCCAGAAGGTATAATCGTCGCTGTCTTACCTGTCTCCAATTTGCTATTACTATTAAGACTCATTGAGAATGGGTGATATGTGAAAATGAAAAACTTCTGAATGAAAACTTAGGAGTTTGTTATGCTTAAAAATGTCTCAAAATACTTTAGCATTGGATAATGTTAACAAAACATCCATTTCTGGTCAAATTTTTCAGTGTCCATCTGAAGATCTGTTACATATAGATTGATATGAAATAACAGAAATAGGTTTGCAAGGTTCAAAACCTAATGATGTGTTGTGCTGCATAATTGTGTGTATACAATTGTGTGATGTGCTGTAGTACTGCAGTGTATACTTCTAATTAAGGGGATGGTTTACTTAAAATTGTTTACTTGGTGTTTTAGAAACTGACACATAGTTGAGGAAGTGCCTGATGATGCTACAGGGACTGTCCCAGCAGCAAACCTAACTGCCTTCAGAGTAACAACTTTGTCAGATGCTTCTAATCCATTCTGACTTACCATCAGTACAGCTTGTCTTTAGGAATAAGTTTTGCCATCAGGAAACTCGAGAAATTTCCTTTAATTTGAGGGATGGAAAAGTTAGAAATAACAACAACAACAACTGTCAATTGTACATGCATATGGGATGGTAGACATCACAGGGAATGCCTAAGGAATTAAAAAAAAAAATGAAGTTTGGTGTTATGTTGCATAATTTTTGGGTGATAAGTCCAAACAAGTTTGCTCTTAAAAACTGATAGTATATTTTGCTCTTAAAAATCACAAAATTAAGATATTTAGGGGGAAAAAAAAGCTAAAACTTGTGAACTTCTCTGTTTTTTTCAATAGTAATGTGTAATTGTTTAGGTAAGTTTTCTGTAGATGGCAGCATTGATGAGTTACATGCTTACACTATTTGGTTAAGACTTTGAAAAATATAACTTCATGATACCACTTATTTTTTTTTTGAACAAAATATACCTGAAACCTACAGCAACTAGTATTCTGAATGTAATTATTAATAATTTATAACCAAAATTATCACTGTAGATATACGATAAATGATAAAAGCCCTCTTCCTTCCCATACTAGTGATCAAGTTGAATTTAGTTAATTGGTTTCAAGTCTTTACTCTCACATCTTGGGTCAAATCTGCTCACCAGTGGTGACTCTAAGGCCAAAACATTCAATTCATTAGTACACAGTTGTCATTAACATACTAAGAAAGCAGTGCTCTGGAGTTGTGTGGTACCACTCAAGAGTGGCAAGCTCCAGAGTGTAGACAAACTCTACAAGATTGAGTTAATTCATGATTTATTGGTTCCTCTGTTACAATTATCTATTATAAATTAGTGACTACTGAATTCAAGAGGATTGGATTTATGACCATTGGGGGCCAACACATGCTGAGGATATTTAGAAACACCAGGAGAGCAAATTTCCAAGGTTAGACCCATCTAAAGCCCTGGATGGTGCTTGTGAAGGCAGCTGCTGGCAGCACTGATTCATTTGTAGCCATTTAGAGCAGGGCAGATGCGTTAACTTTCACTATGGGGGTATGGATGTATGGGAATTATTTAAAAGTGTCAGGTGAACTAATTTCTCTAAAATCACATTTGAAATTCTGTATTACTTGCAAAGTTTGTCAAAAAGTTTCTAAAAATCATCATACACCAACAAATTCAATTCTACTCAAAAATATGGAATTGGTCATGATCCCAGTTAGGGCTCCATATCCTAGACAGCAGTTGGTGTTTTGCCCAGTGATTTGAGAAATTGGCATTTTAAATGCTTTTCTAATGCACAAAGGAGCTTGCCTCTGGTTCAGATTCTGCCCAGTGGTTTGGCATAGGGAATGACAAGAATTGATTTGGCCAACTCTGTGGTGGGGATTTGGCCTTGGGCATCTAAACCCATATCCTGTTTTCAGGTATGTCCTACCTTTTGTTTCCTACCTTCTGTTGCAGCAGTTTGAGAGAACATTTATAACAAAGCCAGATGTACTTACAGATGCACAAATCCAAAAAAGAAATGAAGAATAATTAGGACAAAATAAAAAGATTTTCAATTATTTTATATATTTTTTTTAAATTTCCATTCCAGGGGCTGAGGTTGTAGCTCAGTGGTAGAGCACTTGCCTAGTATGTGTGAGGTACTGGGTTCCATCCTCAGCACCACATAAAAATAAATAAATAAAATAAAGATATTATGTCTATCTATAACTGAAAAAAAAGTTAAAGAAAATTTCCATTCCACTTACTATAGTTTCTTTAGGCTGGTGAACTTTAGTATCTGCCTCCCCAACCCAATTCACAATTAAAAGATACATCTATATTGCAGCTTAACTCAAATATAATTATATAGGATTCAAGATAAGAACCAAGTAGATTTAGATAGTGAGGTGTATATATGTGTGTATGTTTGTGTGTGTGTATAAAACAGAATGATTTGATGATATAATACATATTCTTATTATCAACAGTGGACTCTAATATTTTCTATTCTATGTTGTTTGATTGTATTCTGTTTTATTAGAAAAATATTGGCTGAACTCATGTGATTTCACATCCCACTAATGGGTTGTGATTCAGTTGGAGAATTCTGTTTTAGGCCATAAATCTGTGCATGCCAGATTGAACTGTGAGGCAGAGTCCTTTTAAAAATTGTCTTGCAGACCAGTTGACAGCATTGAATAGTGTCCATTTGGCACAACTCTGTAAGAGAAAAATTCTCCTACTTTTGCCTCCGAGTCATTTTTGGGTTTCCCTTTCCAAGATTTTTGGAAAAACACTGGTGTCTCCTGAAGATCTATTCTACTAGGCAAGTAAGAATCTGGACTGGCTGAGGGCAAGGGGCTGCACCTGAAGCAGCTTCACTGTGGAGTGGAGGAACTCAGAGGCCTGAGAAGCAGGATGCTTCAGTAGAAATACATAACTGTGGCCCAAGTAACAGTCAGCAAAGGCCTCCTGTAAGGGAGCATGAAAAGTGTGTATTTTCAAAGAGAAGGGCTTCAACGGGTGCTCTTGGCTTGAATATCTGGTTGTCTTAAACAACAAATCATTTGTTTCTCACAGAGCTGGAGCTGAGAAGTTCAAGGTGCTAGCTGATTCATTTCCCCAGTGAGGGCAAGCCCTTTTCCTGTCTTGCAGGTGGCCACTTTCTTGCTGTGTTTTCAGAAGGTAGAGAGAGGAAGGCGGGCCGGGGAGAGGAACCAAGCTTTCAGGTGTCTCCTTCTAATCCATCGCATCATGAGGGCTCCAATCTCATGACTTCATCCTAAACATAATTACTTCCCCAAAATCCCAACCTCCATACCATCGTAATAGGGATTAGGGCTTCAGCATATGAATTTTGAGGGGACACAGTCAGTCCTCACCATGGCTGGTGAAGGATCAGATTCTTTCTTTTCCCTTACCCCTTCCTCTTCAGCCCTCTACCTGGGTCATTCTCCTGGCTAATAATTCTCATGCCCCAGCTTTTACCCTTAGACTGTCCTTTAGGCCCCCACAGCCTATCTAGGGTATACTTCTGGCTACTGATCTTCTGCCACACATACTGCCTTTGAAGCTTACACCCTTTGGGGATGGTATGGTTTTTTATCTGACTTGGAATTAAAAATATACCTGTTCAGTCCCTGTCTTGTTCTTTGTGCATGATTCTTTTCTTAGGCAGTGGACATAAGGGCAAGGTGGGATTGCAAGTGGTAGAATAGAAACTGACACTGTGTGGGCTCTTTGCAAGAATACTGACTGTTAGCTTCCGGAAGGCAGAGTCTGTGGGTTTGGCTTATTCACTGTTGTATGTGCATTGTCTAGCATTGAGCATAGTACTTGGCAGGTGTTCAATAAATGATTTTAGGGAGAAATCCTCAATGGTAATAAAGTGGACTGGGCACAGAAGGTGTTCCTCTTTCCTCTCTTTTTTTGAAATGCTGGTGCCTATTGGTCTTGATGTATGATCTCCA